CACACACACACACACACACACACACACACACACACTGAGGCAGAAAATTAAAACAAACTTGCTGCCTGGTCCATGCTTTCCTGGAGTCAGGATACACAGCATGATTGTCCGCAAAGCCAAAAAAGCAAGGTATTGATTGAACAGAAGGGAAAGAGAATCTGATAGTAAATAACCAACAAGAAAGTGTGTAGGCCTACTCCAGAAGGTGAAAATAAAATCGCTTTCCCCATCAGTATTCCTGTCTAGCAGGGCTGGAAAGGAGAGTCGGTCGTTTCAAAGCCAGGGCTGCACGGTGACCATAGGAAGAGCTTCGTTGGTCCCAGAGCAGAGTACATTTGTGTAGGAACGTCTGGAAAGTGGTGTACGATCCTTTAGTCTTGGTGGATCATTGTTTCCCCAGGCTTCTGGATGGAAGACTTTTTGGATTCTCACTCAAAAACCAGGAGGATGCTTTCATTTCACATCAGCAGAGCATTAGTTTCTAAACTAATGAACATAGTATTCATTTATCCCGATACCTGGATGTCAGTCTCATTGCCTCTGTATGATCTCGTGATGAATGTGTCGTATCTTATTTAGGAACATAAATAAATGAATGAGCCCTCGTGCAAAAGGTATTTGCGTTTTCTAGGAGGCAGGATTCAGCTGGGAAGGTGATAGTCCAAGGGTGGAGTTGAGGACTGTAGAGCCGTAGGGCAGTCCAGAGACCCCAAAGAGATCTTCTGCCGTCACTTGACAGATAGCTGCCTTGCTGGCATTTTAACAAAAACAACATTCTTGTTTCTGGCATGCATTTATCATTCATAACAAATATCATCTGACTCTTCTCATTTCTATCCTAATGGCTCCAGGGACAGACTGGGGAACAGGATTCTAGCTGAATGGGTGAGGTCCATGTACAAGTCAGCAACCAAGAAAAGGTTTTTTTTTTTTTAGAGAAAAGAGGCAGATCCCTATACTACCCGCAGTAGCATGAAGTTAGGAAGACAGGTTTGGTTTTGTTTTTCTCCATAGGCCAGGGTCTGTGTTCCAGCTATTTCTTAAATAACAATGGCTGTCCTCATCATAGGCTTCCATTAGTTAGGGTCATGCTTGCTGTTGTAACAAAGGCATTCAACACAGCATCATGGCTCCAACACCACACACCTGTGAGAGTCAGAGGTGAATCCTACTGGATGGCAGGCAGTTTTGTTTTGTACCAGAGCTCCTGCCATTCCCAGGTCCTCAGGATTGCTTGCCTGCAGCTGGTGAAAAAAGAAAGAGAAAGCAAACCCTACTTCAGAGGCTTGGCTGGAGTTAAGATACGTCAGACTAACTCACACTCCACTGGTGAGAAGCAGTCACATCTAGATGCAAAGGAAGTTGGGAAATGCAGTCTGTTTAACCTCTGCGGCAGACAACCATTGGGGGGGGTGGGGGGGTAGGGAAGGATGAATCTAGCTAGTCACATCTGCCACAGGGCTCTTGATGAGACCGCGGGGATGATAAGTTCCATAGGAGAGTCTCTGGGTCTTAGCGGGACTCCGGGAGCATGAGCCACTATGGAGGGCTAAGCTTGAGAACAGGGAGTGTGAACTCGAGCGAGAGCCAGGCTGAGGGAAGCATCACCCAGGCGAGAAGAGCCAGACATCACGACGCGGGCAGAGTGGGGCAGCAAATGTAAAAGTCAAAAGGACAGGCCCTCATGATCAGAGAAATTCCATTTAGGCTGGCCAGTTGTGTGTGGGCAGGAGTTATTACATAGTGTGTCTCTAGCCTCAAACAGGAAATGGAGAAAACTCTGTATTCAGGTGGCTGGGGACAGTTCTTGGAGGGGTGTGTTTGTGTGTGTGTGTGTGAGAGAGAGAGAGATTGATTTATAGAAAAGGAACATCCATGCTGGATCTTCAAAGATGAACAGGAGTTGGTGTTTGTTCACACAGGAGTTTAGACCAGTTTTGTTGCAGGAAATGAAACCTCTCCACAGAGGCCTCACCTGGCCTTCCGATTGTGAGAGGATGTATCTCAACAGAGCTGCAGGTGATGTTTTTTTTTTAAAAAAGAAATCATTAGAATAAAAGTGCAAGCACACACGTCTGCTGCTCTGTTTTTTAGTGGCAGAAATCGGGCAGCATCCTTAATGTCCACCATTGCCGGGAAGCTCTCTGTACTAAAGGAGCCCTGGTGTCTCTGTGGGTCAGACACTGGCCGCTAGCTGAAAGGTTGGCAGTTCAGAGCAGCCTCTCTCTGGAACACGGATGGTGCTTTCTGCTCCCATAGAATTTACAGCCCCAGAAACTCTATATAAGGTCGCTCTGAATCGGAAGTGTCTTGATGTCGGTATTCTTTAGAATTCACATGAAGGGTGGCTATGAAGCTGTTAGATAGAACAGCTTAGATCTGTATGGACTGATCTGGATGGATCCCACTGAAAAAGCATGTTGCCAAGAAACATTTCATGTGGTCCCACCTACATAAATATCTGTGGGTGTAAGTATGAAGAAAGACGTAGAAGGTAAACATGCACGGGGCTTCACAAAACTCACGGGAATACTTCCTTCTCTTTCAATTCCATTTTTCCATGAACTTTTTCATAGTTGCTTGTTTGTTTCAAAGTTTTAATCGTGGTATGAGGAGAGGGAGAGGGGGCTTGAAAATTAAAATGCTAAACTTCTTGGTTTGGTAATTTCACAAGCAAGAACAAACCCACAGAATACATTCATGCTTAGAAATGGGGGAAAGATGGAATGCCGCCCCCAACCCTGCTCCTTCCCTTCTTCATTGAGCATCTATTGGTACTTGCGCAGGTATTATTTTATCCAATCTTCACAACCATCTCAGAGGTAGTTTTACAGATGATAAAATTAGGCTTAGCCCAAGTTCACATCCCTGGAAGATTGCGGAGTCAGGGTCTGCCGTCCGTTCCTTTTGGTCCAAGGAGGCCTTGTGCACTCTGCTGGCCAACCCGTAAACCAAACTCGTGCCAGCCGGGCGAGTTCCGACTGACCTCGACCCTCCAGGTGCCAGCAGAACTGCCCACAGGCTTCCCAAGGCGAGCTTCCCTGGGACATATCAGGGCTTTCCTCCCATGGAGATGCTGGGGGATTCATACCGCCAACCTTTCAGCTAGCAGTTGAGCATATAGCCACTGTGCCTCCAGGGATCGGTCGCCCACCGACACCATCCTGAAAACTGGAGACCCAGAGACAGGAATTGGATTCCCGGTTCCTCGGGGGTGTGGCCGGAGAGGATGAGGGGAAATGGGGAGCTAATAGTGATGAGTATGTATGTAGAATGTATGTATGTATGAATGAATGGAGAAAATGTTCTAAAGTTGAATGTGATTGCTATGATTGAACTATCACATTGTATAATATGTGAATTATATGCCGATAAAACCTGAAAAAACCAAACCAAACCCGGAGAGAGTGGGTACCATCCATTTTTGAGGTCAGTCAGCTGGTCTGGCATTCTAATTGGGCTTGCTGAAGCAGTTAGGGTCTTAGTTTTCATACGGAAGTCTAGTCTCGTGCAAATAAACACCCAGAGGGGAATAATCCATCCTTGCTGATAAGCCTCAAGCAGGACTGGAAAAGCCCAGACTCAGAGACTCACCTGCAGGGAGCCTCTTTTGGTGCCATCTCTACCAGAGGCAGCGAACCCGGTAGCGACGTGATTCTCCTGGGAGCGCTGCTAGCTCGGCTTTGATCTGAGTTTTCTTGAGGGAACTTTTGGGGTGGAATTGCTCTCTCCCTCCTCTCCTTGAGTTCAGGGCCCTTTAGTTATGATACGCATCAAAGAACTGAAGGGTTTAGGGGCCATCGATTTCTTCAGAAAGCATATCGATTAGGTCGGGAAAGATCATTACTATTGAGAACCTTATGCTCAAGACAGCGAAAAGTCATTTCCCAGTCTTTACTGGAATTGGAAATTCAGCAAGAGTTTAAAAATTAAGAGTCGTTTTCCGTGAGCTGAGCCTTCATCTCAGGACCTCCTGGTGGTGCGTTCACCACTGTAGGAGGTTTATCGAGTTAGGTTTCTTCTTAGTTGGGACTCAGCCAGGCCTTTTTCATATTATTCTTCACAGTTCCTGAAAAGGTCTAAATTAATAAGAATTTATTTTTAATGATGAAAAAACCTAACAACCTTGATAGGAAAAACAACAGTAACAAACAAGCAGCTGAAAAAGAACACTGGTTACCAACCCTGGCTACACATTGGAATCACCTGGGGCCCTCTAAGAACCCCACCCCACCCCACCCCACCCCCTCAGTGCCATGCCACACCTGTGACCAGGTAAGCTGGAATGTCTGAGGAAGCAGGCAGACATCCGTGGTTTCCAATGCTCCCGGATCATCCCCAAATGCAGTTCAAGAGCCCATTGGTTTATGGACCCAAGTTCTCACTAAAATGGCAAACCCAGCAACTGCACCTGGGTTCACCCTGGGCCCCAGATGACTGACAGCCGGGGTGAGGCTTGGCTGCCCAAAGACCTTGGAACCAAGGGGACGTTGGGCCCCGCACATTAGTTCAATGGCGAGCCACTTGTTCTGACCAACATCTCTCCGCAAACGCAAAATATGTTTATGGGTTGCACTTTTCTCCCATTTAAAATCAAAACCACCTGGTTGAGATCCAAGGTCATTGCAATGGACGATTCCCTACTTCACTAAGTAAGAGACAGTCAATGAGGGCTCCTCTGAGCCCTTCAGCAGACCTCTCTGGGTGGTCTCTGAGGAAGGAAGATGGGGGCAGTGCCCCTCAGATTACCGCATGGACCTGACAGAGAAACCAGGCGGTGTGGGGGCGGTTCTGCAAGGTTCTGCTCACCCCTGCTTTTGTTTGTGTTTCTCCCCTTCCTGCACGGGCATTCGCTAATTCAATCTATTTTCGGAAACTTTCTACTTGTAGGGGCACAGTGTGTAATCTACTCCAGACTGGACATTTTTCTTCATGGGACCAACAGACGCTACAACATTTGAAAATGGCATCCACTGGCTTTGCGAACAGTGAAGGCATGGGCAGCATCTTTGGTTCACAGGTAAGGTGACCAGATTTTAACACTGGTAAAGCGGGACACCATTGATAAAACTCCTATCCTGGCGAAATAGCCACATGGCAGCCGAAAACTGTCTACCCTAGCTTGTCGTGCATTCTTTCAAAAAATCGGGACTTTTTAAAAACGTCGCAGGATGCGGGACAAATTGTTAAAAATCGGGACTGTCCCGCCAAACGCCTGGTCACCTTATTCACAGGGTGAATCCAGACAGTGGCGTGTTGATGTAGCATATCGTTCCCACAAGATGAAAACAAGCAAACAAATACCAACCCCCCAAGCCTGCTGCCACAGAGTGGGTTCTGACTCAGGGCAGTCCCTTGTGGTGTAGAGTAGAGCTGTCCCACAGGGTTTTCATGACTGTGATCTCAGTGGAAGCAGATTGGCAGGCCTTTCTTCTGCATCACCTCTGAATGCCAACCTGCAGTAGTTAAATACGAACTGTTTGTACCACCTAGGGGCCACTAAGAAGCCAGGCAGCTACCAGATCAGCAGCTATTCGCTAGTAAAGTGTAAGCATTCCAACTTGGTAACGGGTAACTTCAAGCATCCTGAAATTTGGTCTGCTCTGAATCCCCCTCTCTCTCTCTCTCATACACACCCACCCACCCTATCTTCCTGGTAATTTGCCATATTTGCTTGTGCTCTGGACACTCTCTGGTTGATCGAAGCTTCCTGGTGGTGGGTGATCGAGTGACCTGAGAGTGGAGAGTGAGGAAACGTGGTTTGTATGGGGCCACAGGACTTGCTAGTGAGCAAAAACACATATCCTATGAAACAAATTTTTAATTTTTATTTTACATATTTATACATAAAACTTTCAAGGGACCCTCTGAATCCAACAGAATGTTAATAGCACATCTAAAAATGAACTTCAGGTAGTCAACATTCACAAAATGTTGAAGACTGATTAAAATATACCTATTACGGAGAGCTACAACGTCACTACGAGGCAGGCATGTATTTTTGGACTTGGATAGCACCGTCATTTACAGTTGTTCTTTAAAACTACAGTGGAGAATGAAAGTCATCAATGGGAAAACCCTGCTCCAACGGAAAAGACATCCCTCGACAAACAGAACCAAAGTGAAACCCCCCTCTCTGGTGAGCCGTGATTTGTGATGGTGTAAGTACTGTACAGTTGGTAACAATGTTTCTATTAAAATGCCTGGTATTTAGTGGCACAAGTAAAAAACTCAGAGAAATGAAGCCGCGGAGGCCAATCACTGGACGCGAAGCTGCAGCCGTGGTCAACGATGGACACGGTGTCGGCACTGCGCCCGCCTCCTGAAGCAACGGCACGTCCACAACCACAGAAGCAACAAACACTCCAGCATGTGGTCGCGAGGGGTCTTCTCACTTCGCAGGCATCTTCTCCGCCAGGTGCTTCTGCTGACTCTCGGCATGTCTGTAAGAGCAACGGCAGAGGATGACCGAGGGCCCAGCACGAAGGTCCATGCTTCCAGCCTGCTCCCCGCGAGGCTAAGTGCCACCGCGAACGCAGCGCTGGAGGAGCAGCAGCAGGGGCACGTGATGCCTGCTCTTTCACCTCTTCCGTTCACACACTCCATGCGTGACTCCATTTATTCAACAAGCCATTCGATTAAACTGGGACTTGCAGGCACTACTCTGAGATCATTTGTTTTAAACATGATTGAATCTGCATCTCCCACTACTCCTGGAGCGAGGGATTTGGTCGTGAACAAGGCCATGAAGGTCTTATTCCTAAGCTGCACACCAGTGGGGTGAGACACTCCCTGCCATCAAGGAGAGAGAAAAGGAACGAATAGAAGCCAAGGGACCCCACCACCCGCTGCCATCGAGCTGATAACAACTCACAGCGACCCCATTAGGGCAGAACAGAGCGGCTCCCCAGGGTTTTCCAGGCTGTAAACCTTTATAGAACCGGACAGTCTCATCTCCCCAAGGAGCGCCTGGTAGATTTGAACTGCTGACCTTGACGCCACCGGGGTTCCCTGAAGCAGGGGAATACAATACCCGCCTCCCCCACAAAAAAGCCCAACCTCACTGCCATCGAGTCAATTCTGACTCACAGTGACCCTAAAGACAGACCAGGACTGCTCGTGTGGGTTTCCAAGGTGAGGCCCTATGGGAGTTGAAGGGCCACGTCTTTCTCTGAAGAAGGGACTTTCTTATTGCCATTGAGTCAGCGCCGACTCACAGCAGAGTAGAAAGCCCCGTCTTTCTCCGGCCAAGCTGCTGCTAGTTTTGAACTGCTGACCATGAGGATCACAGTCTAGGAGACAGACAGTAAGTGCTAAACGAAGAGACAAACGGCCAAGACGTTTGTTATCTAGA